TATATATATATATATATATATATATATATATATATATATATATATATATATATATATATATAATTCTTTCTCTATATATATATATATACTTGTTTTGCATTTGATCTCTAGAAGATAATGCAAAAGAAATTTGCAAAACTGTGTGAAGCTTGAGCAGTTTAAACTTGCACACTAAAGTATAAAAATAACCTTTCAGAGATGCAGAGTAAAGATGACGAAACCCTCGAATTGCTAAAGGATGGAGAGACTTGAGGGACAAGGTCAACAACCAGTATTAACCCACTCTTCCCAGAGCATCAAAAATTGAATTATTTGGGCACATTTTTGCAGTAAAAATACCAACACGGGCACTAAAAATATGCAAAAATCATTGTCGATAAACACTTTAATGCAGTGAGTATTGGTGAAGCGCACATGCATGCTGTGTTGAATAACCCATTTTAATTCACTAAAATCATATTTTGTTCTTAACTGAAAATGCAACTGAGAAGTTTAGTGTCTGTGTCTATATCCAAATACAATTTCAGTTACCTCTGAAAGTGATGAAACAAACAGCAGCAATCTTGATGAAATGAGGAAGAGTGTGAGAAGAACTGGTGTGTTTGTTCCCTGCTATTTAAAGACACGTGAAACTGTGGTCTGACCATATTGTATTCAGACATGGGTCTGACCCTGTTTGGTTCAACTTGATTTTATGGCTTCCACCCCCTCGTAAATATCCACATCAACTTTAGCATTGAAATTGCAGTGGTGCAGTGGATTACATTTTCATGCAATGAAAATGGGAAAACTCAGATAAAATAAATGTGTAGCAAAATTGGTTATACAGCAGATTGATGCTGAAATGGTGTGCAGTGGAATGCCTTCACGACCCCTTTCCAACTCGGAATTCTGACATTCCTTTATTCCCGATATGGTGCTCTAAATTTGCGGGTTTAATTTCAGACTCTCTATATACTTTTTTCTATTTAAAAAAAATATATAATTTTGTTGTTTTAACTCACATTCTATAAGCAGTGTAAATCATGCCATAAACATTTTAGAGTCAAGCAAACAAAAATAAACAAAAAAATAAATACAGCGAACATGCCCCTTTAACATGAACACCTAAATGCAACATCATTCTTACCGTTAAATTTTAACTTCCGGGTAACGGTGTCGGAACGTTTGCGTCGCGCAGAAAGGCGGATCCCTTTTTTGTCTTTCTGAACTTCTGTAGAACCAGTTTCTACTAATCACTCCGCTCAGTGTTTCCATATCAAAAGTTGGTACATCTTCTATTTAAACGACTCTTTATTCACTCGACGTCTTCGACCGCAGTCACACGGACGACAGAGGAGTTCTTTTCCTCTCAGGCTAACTCGCTAACTTTGAACGCTCTCGCTTAAAACTCGCCAGCAGCGCAAGAAGAAACACAAGGAAGATGGAAGATAAACAACTGATGTGGGCATTGAAGACCGGGGATTTGGACGAAGTTGTAAACACACTGATCACGGTAAGAGGACTGGATTAACTCAGCAATTTTTGTGGACTAATCTGACAGGTGGCGGTTTAGCCTAAATTTAGCTTAGACTTGCTAACAACACTGCTATATTTAGTAAATCAATATGCGAGTTTATTGCTTTATTCAATGGAGCTTGTTGGAGTAAGTGTAATTCATGGGCATTTAATGACTTGTATTTGTGAACAATTCCTGTTTATCAGAGCACTAGCCCAGTTAGCATAGTTAGCAACATGCCGTACTCCTAACTGTAGATGGCCAAGTGAGCCATTGTTTTATTTTTCTTGTCTTAGTTACGAACGTGTGTCGCTAATTCGGTTTAAACAAGGTGCTCTGTGTATAATGTTCGGTTCGGCCGACTTAAAATCAACCTGTTGGTAAGAACCAACATTAGCCTAATGATTTAAACTCCCTTTGTTTATTGTGACAATTGCGACAGCGACACATGTGCACGAAGTACACAAATGAATGGAGAGTTTTTAAGATAGTCGGCAAGTTAACTGAGCGTTTATGAGTTTAACATTATTATGTGAGTAGTAGTTAGCTAGCAGCTAGCTTGCTAACAAACCAGACAGGCCCACAGAGCTCAGCATTGTCTAGATGGGCGGAGGTCTCGGTTGACGTTTTTGGAGGTGTAGCTCGCGTGAAGGAAAACCAGTTTATTTTCGACAATTCTCGAAGTCGCCGTGACGTCATCCGTCACGTGATGTCAAACCGCTATTTTTGGTTGGGGGGGGGGGGAATGTTGTGGTAAACTAAGGGAAGCAGATGATTTCATTTTTATTTCATATGTTCCTTCAAGTGTACAGGTATGCAAGAATGTTGTAAGCATATGAATACCCTTAGAAACAACATGACTAAATGGCAACGTGGTTGTCACCCAAATTAAACAACAAAGGTGCTACAATTATACCAAATATCATTCTCTAGTAACTTCCAGTTGTAAAGCTTTTCATTAAGTGCTATTATTCAATATATCCTTCTGACTACCAGGAAAACTAAATATTGTCCATGTCCAATATTGTATTATTCATGAGGAACTGAGAAAGGTACCAAAGCCCATCCTTTCATATTTGGTATCATTGAAAAGCCCTAAATGTCCTCTGTAGAGAGCAAAAGGAGTTAATTCAGTAGTATGCTGTGGGTGGGGGATATTCAGGTTTACAAATGTCCGTCAAGGAGAACAAATTTGAACTGCTGGTTGTTAGGAATGTGCAATATAAATGATATACGGTAGAAACGATAGACGTTTAGCCTACGATAGAGATCTGTCTTCTACCGGCTAACCGCAGTAATGCTGTGTCTGATGTAAAATCAGAGTTGTCAGTTCAATCGTTACTTTTTTTGTTGAAAACTGTGCGTAAGTGGTGTTAAAGTCTTTTCTTCGAGAGCTGAGTAGCGAAGCTACAAGCTAACTACGCCCGGCTTGCCGTAGTGTTGCCGTATTCTGACGCATGCGCAAAATGCTGCGTTCCGTTCGAAAGTTGTTTTTTCTTCTCCTTCGGAAGTTAAAGTAAGCGTTGGTCAGCTTTAGAGAAAGCTGCTCTCTGATCTGTGAAAAGAACGCTGTGTTGTGATTTTACTACGAGACCCTCTGGTCAAAGCCACAGAGTCATTTTGTGTCAGCTCTCCATTAAAGCAGAAGGAGTCGCCCACTAGAGGTTTGGAGGGTGAAGTGTTTCAGTGTAAAATGCTGCTCTGTTGCTGTTCATTTCTTAAGTAAGACTGGAAACTGTTAACATTATTTTGTTTAAAACAAAAGGCGAAAACTACATTTTATATATTTTGCACTGCTTTGCACTACAAGCAAGAAGCCTAATACTTGATTTGTTTATCATTTAAAAACTCTCTGGACCTAGTAGTGGAATTTTCTTAATTCAAAATATATGATGGCAAAAGGACACCCTATGCTTTTTGAAAAATTCCTATTAAGTTTTATACCCAAAACATATTGCGATATATATCGTTATCGCCACCCTTCACAGTACATGTCGTGATATGAATTTTATGCCATATCGCACATTCCTACTGGTTGTCATTCAGGATCCTGCTGTTTAAGATATCTGACAAAATTAAGACCATCAATTCACACTAATTTGAACACAGTTTGTCATGCCGTCTATTTTCTGTAATAGCACTTATAAACAATTTAAAATAACATTTAAAGTCTTTATATTGGATATATAAAATGGATTTCAAGACTCTTAATAACAACAAAGAAAACAAATCTCGTATGATCATATAAAATGCTTTGTCCTCTAGCCCCCTTCCCTGTTTTCAGCACAATGTATTTCTAACAGTTTGGTTATTTATATTCACTCGAGGTAATGGAGAAGTACAGATATCTAAATAATCACAACTTAAAGTAAAAAATACTGGTGATTAAAATGTGCCAAACGGACGTATATGTGCATGCTACGTGATGACCAAAGTGTTTATCGCGTTCCATTTTTCCTTTCGGTCTTGCAGATGGAAACATTTAATATTTTCTGTTTGGATGTTTCTTCTCGATAGTTGTGCAACCATTCACAGCAACGTCTCAATATTTTGTCACCTTTCCCCACACCAATATGTCGGCCTCCTTACGTGACAAAGTACCTGGATATCCAAATTTGAGAATTAGGATGAATTTGGGATTATCCGGTAATTACTTTTTCTTTTAAGTTGCATGAAGTATAGGAAACTAAAGACCCTTTGTTTTCATGTAAACAAGAACAGCTTTCTTGTAATAATTAGCAAAATAGATGTTTTAATGGGAATTTTGAAGCAGAGAGAGGGGAGAAAGGAATAAAACAAAGTCTTTCCAATAACTTTGACCTGGCCGGATTATAACGGTTAGGCTATTAAGTGTCTGTTACACTTTTCACATTCCTACTATTCACAGTCCTTTAAACATTATCTCCGTGTTCCTATATGAGGGCGAAACAAACCCAGATGAGCTTTACACTTTTGGGAACCTTCACTTAACCTTTACATATGTTAGCATCAAAGTAGCTATCAGAAGCAAGCGTCAATCCAACTTTGTCTACACTTGTAGAACACTTAAGTAAATAATACAGTATTTAATAAAAGAACTGTAAGAGCGTTCACAACCACTTACAGCTTTTTCTTTTTTGCGATAGTCTTGTTGTAACCCCTTAAGTACAATATTCTTAATAAATTGCTTAGTGTTTTTTTATTTAATTGTCTAAACAAAATACTTTTCATCAGCTGCTTCAGCCATAGCTATCGATGGTAGTAACCTTTTAAATACTATGAGAAGAGGTTGAAATTCTGTATCCATCATGGCTAATGGATTCAATGGAATTAGTTATAAAAAGAAGAATAGAGTTCATTATGTGGAAATTGGTCTTCAGTGGAGTTTGTGATAAAGGTGAGTGGGTGGCAGTGGTGCAGAGTGGATTATGATGTGGTTCTGAATGAGCTGGTTGTTACAAATAAAAGGCTTTGAGAGCAAAAGTATCGCATTCATTCAAACCACAAGTCATTTCTGCAAGCACCATTTATTCCCATTTACTTTTATTAATGTATTTGCATTTTTTTTATTATTATCGTCGTACCTTTTTTAACTGTTAATCACAATTTTAAAAATTGAACAAATACAATTGATATGTTTTAGGTTAAGGAAACAAGGGTTCTTTTTTTTTTTTTTTTTTTTTTTTGATAAAAGATAAGAAATTTGTGCTGTGAACTAGAATAGAAATGGTCTAGTATTGTAATTTAAATACCAAAGTTTATGTAATAGCCTAATCAAAGAAAGGGAGTTTATTGCTGTTTTTTAGTTTATAATCTCCTCAAGTATTATTTGGAAATAATTAGGTTTAGTAGAACTTCATAGCTAGTGATGGTGTAATTATACACAAAATTCACCCGTTTAATGTACCTTGTTTTTGTACGGTACATTTTTGGTACGATTAAATTAATAGCAACAAACTTATGTAAAAGCATACATTTAGGTTTAGCTTGTACTTGGTTTGCAAAAATGCTAATGGGAGGGAAATTTGTAACATTATATTTATTTATAGGCTTTATGTTTTTATAACTGTCGGTATGTGTTTTAAGCTGGCCTTTTCTCCGAGTCTGCAGCTAATCAAACCTTCTTTGGCATTTATGAGTTAAAGGGCTGTTTAAATACTACACACAAATATGATTTTTGTTTTTGGTCAGTTATGCTTGGATTTGGGTGATGCAGTTTTCAGGTATTAAGTTCACCATGGAGCCAGCTACATTCCCTATTGCTACGTAAAGTTTGATCCAATTCTTTTTTTTTTTTTCCTCACCTGTCACTGTAGTTGATTAAGAAACCATATTGTTCCAAGACAGCAGACTTTAATGGTGGTTTTGTGTCCTCAAGCTGTGGTCTGCATGTGTTCTCCGTGTTTGTTGCATGGCCTAGGTTAAAGTTCTACATGTGTACAGGTTTACAACAACCCTGCGTATGTTTGATACACATGCGTGCATACATAAAGTGTTGAAAGGCGATCTCCGTCATCCGCTTTGTATAGCTTAATATTAAAAAGGTGCATTTATTTCAAAAGAGACGCGCTTTAAAATTATTAGTAATTATTCTATTTTTTTTTTTTTTAATTAGTATTTATTCCAAGGAGCCTTAATCTCAGCTGGTGCATGATCATTTCAAACTGTTGCCTGCTTAATGTGTTTGCTTAAAATAAAAACCTTGTCTACATGGTTTGGATGAAGACGTGGTAAATTAGCGTTTACTCACCCCAAGTTCTCAAGACAATAAATAAATAAAGCTCTGATGAATCCTGCTGCCAGGTAATGGTAAATGCTAAATGGACTGTACTTGTAAAGCACTTTGAGTATCTTGATTAGGTAGAAATGTGCTTGTATAACACAATCTGTGCCCTCATTTACCTGCACACACACATCCATACAGCACTCTACTGCATCTCTGCAAAGCTAATTTGAACCAGTTGAGAGTAAATATGTAGGTGATCGATTTATATTCTTTGATTCCCACCAGTCTGATGGATCAACGTGGAGAGGAACGCACATGTTCTGATACTAACACTAAGCTCTCCGGTGACAAATGTCCCCTTTCTTCTTGCCTTTGGATATAAACTACAAGGGCAGAAACAGATGCTGGCATACCACAAGTTTATTTTTATTGTTTTATTTGGTTGGGGAATAAATACGCGGAACAAAGCTCACTGAACTGAACAACAATAATACCGTTATTTTAAATAAATTAAAGTTCAGCGGTCACGTTAGTACTTTGGATTTGCCCTCTTTAACTAGACTTGAATAATTGAAAATCAATGCCCATCCCTACTTGATATTCATCTACCTTCCTGTGCCTCTCCATGTGTTATCTCATGTCTCCTGAGTTATCGGTGCAGCTGGGTCTAGTTTCCGTGGTGCTTATCTAGAAACTAGATCAATAAATTGTGCACAATTTTGAGAGAGAGGTCAGAACTGACGACCAAAGCTGTTATTTGAGTTGTCTTTTGTCACTTGGTACTCACTCGATTGTGCATTGTAGTTGTTTGGGAACTGGCTAAGTTGGTGTGCCAGTCTGCGTGCATGCAGGACGTTGAAGGAAAGTCTTAGTTCCTGCATGTTTGTCAATCGAGAGTTGCCGTTTCAGTACACTGGAACCTCACAGCACAGCTGAATAAAAATCACCTGCTTGTGATTTTACTACTTTGACCTGTTTCAACCAAATAATGTGCCTTTTTTTTTTTCCAGGCTGAAGATGTAAATCGGACCCTGGAAGGTGGAAGGAAGCCACTTCATTACGCTGCAGACTATGGCCAGACAGAAGTGATGAATTACCTCATTTCTAAGGGAGCAGATGTCAATGTAAGAGACACTACAGTCTCCGCCACCTCATACTGTTTTTGCATTAATTTGCTTACTGTCTAAGGTTGCTATGACCACAGAAAATAACTGCCCTTGTCTGCTTCCCTTTCCCACTCTGTCCCTACAATCACAATGCTTGACTTGACACCATTATCGGTAGTTTGTTTCAACAAAGGTGGCTTTACTGTTAAAGCCACGTTACTTTGGTTTTTTTTTTTCAGCCATGGTCAAACCTGTCAACTTGTTTCCATTGAGCTGACCACCCCCATTTTAGCATCTCTTGAACACGGTCTTTGATTTTAAAGTTGTACAATTTTCCCTGTGATGCTCAAGTCAAAAAATGGGAGAAATTTTTTATTACTGACTTCATACTAATGCGTAGTTGATTTAAAAAATATGGTAAAGTGCTCTAAACCTTTAAGACTGATGTCTTTGCAGTGGATTTTATAACTTTTAAGAAGTTCAACACCAAGCTTGTTTTTACATGTTTCGTTTTTTTTATTATCTCCATAGGCTTCAGACAAGCATGGGCTCACTCCACTGCTTTGTGCCTGTTTTGAGGGTCACTTATCATGTGTCCAGATCCTGATAGAAAAGGTTAGTATCCTAATTTGAGCACACATCCATGCAGGCTTCTATAAACAGATGGTCCCTGGTGTCTTTCACTTGTCAGTGCTTGTTGATATGTCGGTTTCTACAGCATGAGTGCTGATGAGGTAACTTGTCAGACAAAAGGCTCTTCAGCGCTGTCCTGTGGAGGCTTTGCTGGAACGTTCAAAGGGCATCGCATATTGTGCTGCCGTTTGTCCATTTGTATCATTTGTAGCTACAGTTCTTATAAACAGTTTGCACTAGAACTGTCTTAAATTTTGCAACATTTCGATAAAGGCTGTCATGTGTATGTCGAATTCACAGAAAGTGTTAACTGTTAGGCTAACAAGCATCCTTATCCACTCATGAAAAACAGATTTGTGCATTTTTACTGTGGTTTAATCGAAAGCTTCTCTTTATTAGCGGTTTATTGGTAGTCTTTTAGGAAGTTTCTGCTTCCTCTTGCCCATCCTAACTGACGGTTAGTGTGTCACAAAAATAGACATGTTCTCCTCCTCTAGGTTGCTTTTGATATGTTTTGCCTGAAAGAAAATAAACCTGACTGCAGTGAATTTGATAGGCCTCTGGACAATGATTGTCACACAAGCTGAGCCATAATAGCATCTATTCAACTGGCACAGGGACCAATCAGGCCCACAAGTGTGCTCAGTTTGGCGCACCAATGGGTTCACTTTAAAATAAAACTAGATTTTAAATGGTAAAACAAACTTACTTAATACGAATAACTGCTGGATGTCCGGCCCCTGAACTCTTGGCTTTCAGTAACTGTGGCCCCCTGAGTAATTTAGTTGAATAGCCCTGATTTAGCTTTTTAGCACCCCCTTTGTTTCTGTGCATCTGTTTACCATTCCTAAACAAAGATCTCATAGTAAAGTTGAGTAGTTTTATCCATTTATAGTGTCCTGTCATTTGTTACAGGTTTTCAAAATCATTTAAGTAGAAAATGAGTTCATTTCCCATGTGATGCAAGAACTCCAAACTTAGCAACAGGCAGCTTTTTTTAAAAAGAAAGTACATTTGGTCTCCTCTTTTTTTTTTTTTAGCAAACTTAAACTGTGCCATTGTGTGACAGGAACCCACATTGTGAAGGGTTGCATGACATCATGTTAAAAGCTTCTGTCAGTTGATGCCTTGTTGTGCTTAGAGGAGGGAGAAACCGAAAGAGAGACACTGGTGGAGGAGCTGGTTTTTTTCAGCCTGGATAAACAGACTGGCCTCTAAACAGTTGTTTTTGTTTTTAGATTAATAAAAGTGTCTAAAGAAGTGGAAATTTCATTACAGCACTCTACAGTTTTAATGTCATCACTCCGCTCACCGTCACATAAAGTGTTCAGGTTCAGTTTTAGCTGCACCTTGTTGCCTTGAAAGAGGAAGTTGTAATTTATGTATTAAAATTAGCAGTCTAAAGTTATGTCGTTTTCACACCTGATAGTCCGGTAGACTCGGTTCGGGACCAATATTCATGACCTTTTGTTTACATTTGAGCTGGTGAGTTTGCATTCACACTGCACTGTGCAGTCGAGTCAACCTGTTGAACCAACCTATTCCACCGCTCGCCTGTGGGGGCGCTGCACCAAGAACTACTGAAAGAAATGACACAAAACCCTCTGAAGACGCGTCTTCAGCTGACGGCTCCATATAAGCTCAGAGAAATGCGTGTTTGTTTACCCTGCGGAGCGGGGTCCGGTCTGTTTACATTCACACTGCACTCGAACCGCGCTGCAGTTCTCTTCTACCGGACCGAGACCTAGGTTTTAGCCCGGGCCAGAGTTCACCTTTTTGTTCCGTGACAGAGTTCGATGGCGCGTTCACACCTCCCTAAACGAACCGGACTTTCAAGGAAAACGAGCTAGAGTTCGATTAAAGCGGACTAAACTGGGCTGGTGTGAATGCACCCTTAGAAAGCCATTTTTGTTCTACCATTTTTCTCCATTTCTCCACCAACCTTGTTTCTAGGAAGCAATTTTTATGCAGATGGCCACTGTTTTGTTTTTGTTCCCTTAAAATTGGCTATATTCTTTGGTATTTAAAGGTGACGAAATGCTTCAGATTACAAGACGAGGTACAAATAAAAAACATAAAAAAATATATTTTGTTTGCCTAGTTTGCTCTCGACTAGGGTGGGACCCTCCGAGCCACTACACAGTTTCACATTAAAATAATTAAACCGAGGAAGAAAAAAAAAAACAGTGTAATGGCATTTCTGTGGCAGAATTGATAACAATGCCTACATCTAAGCCAAGATCAGGGTCAGTGACTGCAACGTTAGTCATCAAGCATCAGCGGGAGGAAGATAAGGTGGCTGACATGTCTATTATGGCCGCTACAGAAAAAGAGAAGTGGGTGCCGAATGCCACATTTTTCAAGAGAAATGGAGAAGCAATAATCTTAAAAAGTGAAAAGCAAACTGGTGTTTGGTTTGTGGTGAGACAATAAAAGTGGTGAAGCGTGCTAAACTGGAGACGCTAAAGGGACCGATGCAGACCGATAATGGTGTCGCGCTTCGTCTGAGTGTAGACCTGCACCTATAACAGTTTGCAAGACCACAGAGCAACGAAGACGACTTTGAGAGCAGGATTTGTGGCGAGTGCATCCATAACAAAGAAGCTGAAGCCTCATGCAGAAGGAAAGTTTGACTGAATGAATGGCTCCTGCATTTCCTTAACCATGACTGAAATAATATAGTTTATTAAAATATATCTGGAGTCCAAAAACAATATATATTTTTAATATTTTTTACATAGGTAAAATCTAGAGAGAGAGATATATAGAGAGAGAGAGGAGGTTCCTCACCTCAGCTGTAGGCAATGGAAAAAGAATGTATTCTAGCAGTGTCTGCTATTGTGACGTCTGTTTATGTAAAATGTTTTGGCAACACCATTTTAGGAAGCAAAAGGTGTTTTTTTTATTTCCCTTCATAAATCATTGTCAAAGTACAAGTTGACATTCAAAATGAAGGGTTAGAATTAACACAGAGAAATGGGGTTGGGCCTCAGAATGCTCCCTCGAAGTTTCATTCTTACCACATGTTGGTGCACATTTCTGATTCACAACAGAGAAAAGGAGGCCAATACATTTGACTGCAGTTTTTTTTTTTTGGGGGGG